GTTTCTGCTTCTGAACTCTAGAGGCTACATAATATCCTACCTGGACGCCAAAACATGAGACCACAGTAAGACACAATCAGCTTCCTCTTGTTGAGGCAGAATTTTTCTCTTGAAGAGAAAAATTTTCTCTATTTGTTGTAGATGTTGTTTTTCCTCAGCATTAGCCTGGCTTTAACTTGTTGTAAAAGCCCCTTAGGCATGTATTTGGCTCTTCCATTCCTTACTAGTTTTCGGTGTATTGAGCAAACTTTGATCATAATTATAGTCAGTGACTTGAAAGACCATGACTGTGTCCAAGTTTTCATAGGACAGAATTCTTGAAGAAATTCCTAGAAAATTTCCAACAGGGATATACCTACCCAGAGGCCTACTAAAGATTATCCACTGGTGACAGAGAAAACAATTTTCACTACATAAATAGGCATGGGCCTATGTACATGTCATTTACACAAAATTTAATGTACAGATATAAAGCAAATGGCATTCCCCCGGACTCCCACTAGTGGACCAATGCTATAGTCCAATTCCAGCCACGTGCCAGATGGTGTGGTAGGAGGAGGCTTCTTGGGGAAATGACAGCCCAACAAGCAGCAAACTGACTCATTGTATGGGTCTCAGAAATTTTCATTCTACTGTGCCTTTGCCCAATTAATAGACTTACTGATTATTCATCTCTAACCAAACAAATCTTCAAAAAAAGGGTAAGTGTCTTAGTAAATTCCCAGCAAATAAATGGAAGTTTGATGGCAATATTGATCATAAAACACAAGAGAAATTTAAACCCTCTGTTTGTCATATTGTGAAAGGAAAACCAATGAAAATCTAATAAAAAATGTCAAGAAACCAGCCCCTGCCCCCAAATGGAAATGATTAAGAAGACAATTTGAAATATAGAACCATAATTTCTAATAAAAAAGCTAAAACCCCTGAGGGCACGCTGAATCTTGAGATTATTAGTTATAGTAGAACACATACATAATTTACAACACACACATATGTGGGGGTTGCAAGTCCAAAAATATTTTATGAAGAGGGTGTAAAATCAAAAGATCCTGGAGACCACTAGACTATTCTTGATTCTATCATTTTTAAAATTTTGTTTTGGGACCACACCTGGCAGTGCTAAGGGATTACTCCTGACTTTGCACTCCAGAATTACTCTTGGAGGTGCTCAGGGAACCATATGGGATTCCAGGGATTGAACCCAGGTTGGCCCCCTGCAGAGCAAATGCCCTCCCCACTGTTCTATTGCTCCAGCCCCTAGAGATATTCATTCTGTTTTATGTTTTTGTATTTGGGCTATTTCTAGCGGTGCTCAGTGCTTACTCCTGGATGTGTGCAAGGCAACCATCATAACCCCTGTATTTTCTCTTCAGCCCCTAAACATAATTTGTATTTCTTTTGGATCATTCCAATTATAGAAAATCTGAAAAAAATACAACCTTCTACAACAAGAAAAAAGTACATATTTTTAATATTAAAAATAAAAATGAAAAAGAAAATTCCTTAAAAAATATTAGTACAGTACAGCGAAAAAAATAAAAATAAAAATGATTCATATTTAGTTACTATCTTAACCATTTCATATAAAATATCTTTCCTACAGTGCAGTTAAACCTACAGGAAAAGTTTCAACTCTGAGTGTTCAACTCTGAGTGACTTTGACTAAGAAGCTATGTCAGGAATGCAGTCCTGGTACTGAAATTCTGCTGAATAAATTTGGTATAAGATTCACCCTTAGTGGGGGTGACCAATGACCTCATGCACAGTTATACTGTGTGAGATATAGATGCATTCCTGACTAAAATGAGCAACTCATGCATTGTCTTAATTTTTAAATTAGCTATCCCAGCAGCTCATGCATTATCTTAATTTTTAAATTAATTAGCTCATCTGAGCCATTAGTGATATGGGTAAAAAGTCACACTTCCACCCCCCAAATGACAGGAGAGAGGTCTGCTCTGGCTTTCAGTAATCCCTAAAAATTTGGAGTATGTCCTTCCATGGGGGAAGGAAACCACTGCTATGAGTCCTGTAGTGGTCGTCCCTGGTCTGGCTTATGTCAGCTCTTACATGTTTCTCTTTACAGAAGCCACGCTCAGTTTACACTCTCAATCTTCTGCAGCAACTTGCTCTTCGTCCCCATAGTGAAATACTAGTTGGTATTTTAAATAATGTCCCACAGTGAAGCACTACGTGGTATTTTAAATAATATTATCACTCACAAAAATAACTTCTGCCAATCTGTCTTAAAGCAGAGCTGTTTCCTTAGGTTTAGCAGGATTTTCCTGATCAAAGATGAAAAGGAAGTACTTCAAGTATTTCAAAGGAAATGCTTCGAGAAGGGGAACAACAAATACCTTCTAGAATCTTGATGTCATTGCCCAAACCAGAGGGTGCAAAATAAAATCATCATTTTTCACTCCCACCTCATTTTATTAGAGATTTTTCCTATTTCTCCACTTGCTCTACTATATACCAAGCTGCCATGTTTTTGTCTGGGACTCAGGATATGAGGAGGAATGTAGAATTTAAAGAGAAAACAATTTAAACTGTTTATTTACAGCTGGCATTTTAAATGGTATTTTTGCATATGGTAAAACTTTTTCAGAAGTAAAAATTAATTTTCCCAGCATCACTGCAGGCAGATTACCAGGAGTAATGGCTTCACTGATGCCTAGGACACAGCTCTCTAATCAATCCATCCTGGAAGGAAGCCAGAAACCCTGATTTTAAAACCAGAGACTTGTAATAAAATTAAAAAAAATAAGCACTCAACCCTCAGATAGATTCTTTCCCTGAAGCATTTTTTGATGCCCACCTGTAATGGCAGAAGAGTAAATAAAGAATAAAACAGTGGAACCACTACATCTGCTGACATAATTTCCCCCGTGGATACAGTCACTCTCGTGGGCAAAACAGGATTGCAAGATGCTGGCACGTACATCCCTGCGATGAAATGTGGCCTCTGTTTCCGTGAGTCTCACTCCCAACTGCTAAAGAATAACAACTCACCTGCTCTTTCTTCATTGCCTTGCCACCCCAGTCTTAAGAAGCTTAGCCTATTTACTCTGTTACATGTAATATCTTTGATTTATATTGGCATTTTAATTTTTCTCTCAATAAGTCTTATTAAAGATACTGGCATTGATGCACAAAAATAGTACCAAGGTGACAATGACCCTTCCATCACTCTTATGTCCTTTCTGGTCCACTGTTTTATCTTCTCCACCCCACCCCCATTATTTAATTGGAAGTTATGGTTAGGTGCATGCTGTTACTTCCCTTAGCATCATCTATGTGCTTGAGACCTCCCACTTATGTTCTCATGTTATTTCCAGGCAGCCTACTCTCATTCTGTGTTTTTATTCTAATTTCACCTGAAATTCCTTTGCATGTATAATCAAAATTGTATGTATATATTATAAATAACTATATAATTTAGTTATAGAAATGACTGAAAGGAAATTAAAGCTTAGATTTAAAAACTTATCTTTCCCTTTGTTCTAGAAAATGTCCAGAAAAGCACCTTTAAAACAAAAAAAATTCTTTAAGGAACGAATCACAATGATTTTCAGGGAGGCAAGGGTAGAGGAATATTTACTGGGAAAAGTCCATAAGAAAGCAAAGGAGAGGCCAATGAACTGGCTTTCTTTTGAATTTCAGATCCTCCACATAAACGTTTTTGGTCTCAGGACTGAAGAAAGGTGAACCTATTGCTAAGATATTTTCCTGGATGTGTGGAACTGGAATATTTGAACTTACAAAATTTATTTAAGAAATTATTTCCCTCCAAACCAATGAACAATGTGGTTTCCAGAGCTACTCTTAAGAGGATCAGTTCTAGAAACTTAGAAGCCTCAACTTCCACAAGATGGTTGGCATGTAAACCAATGTTTTAATAAATTGTGGATAGAGAACTTGCTTCCCTTTATACCACACAGCCTGGAGGAAAGGAAAACCATATCTTTGATTTGACAACCTGACATCTCTGAGAAGGACAAGGTGCGTGAGGTAGTTAGGTATTGGGTACTCTTCATGACCCAGAAATCCAACAGCCCAGACTTATCATTTCAAGCCAAAAAATAAAAGGTGAATAATATGTGAAGCAGACATTATTTAAAAGGTATTACAAAAGGGACATTAATATACAATTCTGACCTTCCAAGAATAAACCAAGGAGCTGTGAGATGAGCAAACAAATGGCCTACGAACAGATTTCTTTCTTAACAAGCAAAAACAAATGGGAAATATGTCTTCCTCCCTGTGGCCAACTTGCTGGCTGCTGCTGATTTCACCTGACCCTGCTCTACAGTCAGTAGCCGAGGAGACCACTTAATAGTCACACCTCCCTACTCAGGAAGCTGTGGAATCCAATGAATCTACCTTACCCAAAAGCCAACTGTGCCACCTTTTAGAAACTAAAGAGCTGGTAGACTAACGCATACCAAAAAAACCTTCACCATGAAGGATGCCCCAGACAGAAAATTAAAATAGGGCTCTGCTCAGCAGTGGGGATGAAAGGAAGAAATAGAGCACGGCAAATCATAAATCTGTTCATAGTTGTTATGTGGCCACACCTGGCGTATACTTGGGGTCACTCCCAGTGGTGCTCAGGGGACCATGTGGTGCTTCACACAGCCAGTTGAGCTACTTATCTTGCTCTAATTTTTGTTTATTTAAAAAACATACCCTTGTGGCTGGAGAGACCGTATAGTGAATAGGGCCTCTGACTTGCACAGGGTTGGTCCAGGTTCAATTCCCAGCACCGCATATGGTCCCTCAAGCCCCACCAGAGTAAGACACAAGCAATGCTGGGTGTGGCTCCAAAGTGGAAACTAAAAATATGCCTTTGACAATGACTGCTTCTAATCCCCTTAAGTGATTGTCCACACTCCCTCCCTCCCTAGTTCAGGAGGCAGCATCCTTGGCAGAAAGCAGGTCAGCATTATCACTGACTAGTCCCCTGCCCCCCCGCCCCCGCTCCTCCCACACCTTACCTCTATGGTATATTGCTCAAAGATGCGCAGCTGCAGGAAGATGTCCAGCTTGATTTTCCGCTCATGGAATAGCTCCTCCATCTGCACCTGGGCGTCATCCAGCTGCTGCAGGACTGACTCTATATGGCTGATGGAGCTACTGTGGGGTGTCTTGTTGTTGGAGACAGCTGAGTCCCTGTGGCACAGTGGGTGGAAAGAGGGGAGGGACCTTGCCTGTTAAAAGTGATGAAGGAGAATGGATCCTTCTCTGTTTGAGCAAGGAGAATGTGAATCAGTTGAGTCATTCAATCAATAGACATTGATCAAACACCTAATGAGAATCTGGTACTAACTACCTATTCAGAGAACTATAAATACAGGTCTCTACTTTGAGGTTCATAGCACTGATCACTTGCTTATTCCTTAGACCAAACTGTGCAAAGGAAATATGAAAAAAACATGAAAAAGACTTCTACAAAGCACAAAATGTGAAATAACTGGGGTAATTACATACAAGGATACAGTCAAAATATGTATAGTTTTAATACACATGCACATATCGCAGCACATAGGATAGACACATTAAAGGCACAAGCTTTACCTCAAAGGACTGGTGTTAACATAAATTCATGGCAGCCAAAACTATCCATCTTCTTTATAATGCTGTGCCAAAGTTTTGAGCTATTGCTACTAAGCAGACCTTGAGCTGTGGTTAGGAAAGTATGGGATCTAGAGGGAACAAGCCCATATAAAGCCTTTTCTTTAACATATATGTGCCTTAGGAAACCATCTCTCTCAGTCCCAGCTGCCTCCTGGAAAGTGGTTTCAATCCTGTTCTGCTGCTTACTGTCTGGGTCAATGTTAAGAGTGTGGCTGAACGTGTTCCATGAATGATTACTAATTGCAAAAGGACATGTGTGAAGAATCTAGTACTGACTGCAGCAGCTCCAACTGAGGACAGTAGAGATTAGGGCACCAGAGGAAGGATGAGTCTTGAACTGGGCATTAGAAGAGTAGGATAAACCTGTCAATCAGAAAGACAGTGCACTTCCTGAGAGAGATCATGCCTGAAAGCAGTGGCATAGAAGAGAATCAAGTGAGAAGTATACTGCTCAGAGAAGTGTGTGTATGTGTGTGTGTGTGTGTGTGTGTGTGTGTGAGAGAGAGAGAGAGAGAGAGAGAGGAGGGAGGGAGGAAGGGAGGGAGGGAGGGATAGACGGAGGAAGGGAGAGAGAGAGAGAAAGAGAAAGAGAGAGAGGCCTCCAAAGACCTTGGTATATTAAGAAAACTGTGGCATCCCAATTAAATTCTATAGGGCCTAGAAAAAATCAGAATCCCAAAATCTGAAACAAACAAGTAAATTCATTATCTTAGCCAACTTGTTTTCTTACATAACTTAAATCAAAGTACAAAGGGAAAATTGTTGGATAACATTGGGTTGTCCTTGCTCCTCCCGCAGGGAGCTTAGTTTTATTGAGCTACTCCTACAACAGTGCCCCTGAGACACAGCCAATTCCATCAGGCACTAATAATCCTATTTTGCTCTTCTCTTTCCTTTATATCATTTGCATGGTTTAGCAATGTCCTTTTTGTATAGACACAGGAAGAAAGTTCATTACATACTTTGTAACATGGGAGTTAACTGACTCTGAAATAATATTTACTCCTGGGCATTGATGTATGCTTAGTAATATTTACCTGACTTAAGCTCTGTTGTCCTTACTTCCTAAAACCCCCCCAAAGGAGGGTCCAAACGAAAGAACTGGATGGACCCAGGACAAGCTGTAAGCTACCTTGGCATTGAAAGGGGAACAGCTAAGCATCGTTAAGAATAATAAGTTAAGAGCACGGTCATGGAAACAACTGTCATGACTGAAAAAGAAGTAACTGAATAAGGACCCTGCTGGAGTTAGGAAAGACTAATCTGGCCTGAGGACTGTAGTCTGGGATAAATAGCGAGATGTCCCCAGGAAGAGCACCCTTTAAGCTTAATATATCTCTCACTGTATTCATACAAAATGACTAGAAATATTATAAGAAGTATATTTACTATGGTTTAAATGGATTACTAGCTGAGGAAAGGAGAAAGCAATACATCCTAGATGGAATCCTGCCCTTGAGTGGATCTCCTAGTAATCTAGAATGCTGAACCCTCAGGTGAGATTTTGCCCTTGCGTTAATCTCCTAGAACTTCCCCTGAAGGAGTGTACAACCTCACCTATGTGTACCCCACCCTTCATGATTTCTATATAACTATACTGTAAGGGTAAGAGGGGACTGCACTAGACTAGAAAGAGGAGGACTATGAAGATGAGGATGATGGAACTATGCTGGGACTACCACCACCACCAACACTATGACTGTGGTTGTGCTGTAAGGGAGAGATCGGACTATGCTAGGGAAGAGAGAGAAATTAACTGATTACCAACCAGCCTGGGGCCCTGTTTCTATGTTCCTCTGGTTCTTTGTCTGTCCATCACTATGGGCTGGGCAGAGGAACAGCTCTCAGCCACCAAACACTCAGTCCCATGTGCCCACACTCTTTCTTTGAAACTCACAGAAAATCATTATTTTAAAACTTTTCATCAACAGATTTTCTTAAAATCAGTTTCTTTAGCTGGTTGTTTGTCTCAAAAAAGACCATACCTGAATTTATACATTTTCCGAGGAAGCATTAAGAGGTTCTCTTATTCAGAGCGCTCCCTGTTTCTAACTTTTCACCCAGGCCTATTTGGACATGAAACTCCACTCTTGCAGGACATCTCCAAGAAGAAAAGATTAGATGGACCCTGACTCTGACTGTGCTGGAGGGAAGACAGGGTTGTTCTTTTTGACTGTTGTTCTTGAACTTTCTTCACCACACGGCTTCCAGAAGAGTGATTTTTGACCTGCCTATACAAGCTTCTGTCAGTGTCACACTCACTGGTCTCAGACAGGATGCAAAGGTCCCTCTAGGGATCTGAGTGATGAGTACCCCGAGAGTCCAGGGCAACTAGGGAAGGCCTGTGCTATGAAGTGTGTACAGCACCTCGTCAACTTCTCAGAGTCACTTCCTTCGACTATTACTGAGATCAGGAGAAAGAGCTAGGCTCTAGAGTCAGTTTCGGGGAGGAATGGATGATTACCAGTGGTTCTTGGTTACAGGCCTATAGTCCTGTCTAAAAATTCACAGAACATAAATATGTAGGACAGGCGTCAGCTATTCCCCTGCCTTCACAGTCACTGAGCAATCTCGTGCCCTCAGGCTCCGTGCAAGACTGGCAGTTGAGAAGAGCATGTGGCATCTCCAAAGACCCAGCCCCAGTCAGTGTAGTCAGTCAAGCCTGTTCAAAGTGTTTATAAAGAAAGCACAAAGCCATGACAAACATTTAGAGTTGACAGAGCCCCTTAATGATTAAGATAAAGCAGCTTAGACCCAGACAGGTCAAATGGTTGTCTACTAATAAGAATTTCTTCAGAAGCAAGTGACAGTGGCATTTCCTAGGAAGGCAGACAAAACTGTCGTGCATTATATATTCATGAAGATGAATTAGGGGAAGAAGGGAAAGAGGCTGTGTTGTTAGTATGCAACGGGGGACACTGAACTTCTCAAGTGCATGTCTGGAATACAAATGATTAATTTCCAACAGAAAAACATGCCAGGACCATCTAAAGGTAAGTTCTCATTGTTTATTTAATTGGACAACTGGTGTGGGTGGAAAGTCCTCTTCAACAAAAAAGGCCCCAAGGAATAGTTAGCCTAGGAATAGTAGATGAGATTACTTTTATTCCAGAGTTGGCAGAGGTCCCAGTACTCAATGAATTTGGGAAAGGGACCAGTCCCTGTGTGCAGATATCATTAGCACCATTAAACCTTATGTATGCAGCACCTGAGCACAGGGATGCTTGCCGTGGGTTCGCTCAAGACCTCATGACACTATCTGAGAAGCCAACACCCTTAACAGATGGAAGGAACTAGATCTTGGAGCCAATGAAAAGAAAGCAATGGTGTGGATGATTCTAAATAGATATAAGGATTTTCTTTTATGTTATGCTTAATTAGGTATATAAAGATTTTATTTTCTGGGCAGCAAGGAATGGTGAAAAGGGTCTTAAATGGATAATGGAGAGCAAACTGGAAGAACTTCATACAGGAATTACACTCCATCTACTAGATCACTGGAGTTCAAAGATGAATCTAAGATCAGATGCTAAATACTAGTATATTCCCTAGGAGCTATTTCTCCACATGATCGAATATGTCATAATTCTCAGAATTTTTTTCTGTTGTTAATTTTGATAACTTATTGGTTACTGGGTAACATCTTGAGTAATAAATAATTTTTTGAGCATTAATGCACTTCCATTCACCATTTCATTCTAAACTCACACTGAGCACATAGGCACTTTTATATCTGACAGACGGATAAACCAACGCTCACACAAGACCACAAAGTTGGCTGCAGCTGAGCCAAGACTGGGACATGACTTATCTCGCATCTAGTCCGAGGCATTTCCCACTGGAAAGCACTGCCCATGCTGACCTGGCCTCGCTGGGCTCCCCCAGGGAGGGAGGCGCTGACCTGAGCTGCTGGATAAGGTCTTCGCCTTCCTTGATGACATTGAGTGTGGCATCCAGAGTGGCAGTTTGCTGCTGCTGGAACTGCTTGATCAGTTCCTGCACTGCATCTACCGAGTCTGCACAGACATCCTCCAGCATCTCCTTCTGAAGATCTTCCATCCATGTCCACAACTGCAGGGAGAGAACAGGAATACTCAGGGTAGATGAGAGTGATGAGGGCTGGGAGAGATACAGAAGATGAACCCTCAGTAAGGCAGTGAGATGCTTGGCTGTTCTCAGCAGCACAGCCATGGACCAGTTTGTCTTTCTATATTTATGCTCCTAATTGTTTTCTGCTACTCCTTAGGTAATTCCTATGGGCAAGAAGCACATATTTGGTTTTGCTTCCCAGTAACTCAGGGAAACCAAGATTAGAAACTGTAGATCATTAGCCTTTGAGAGACCAAGAACAAGAACCTGGTGTTGGACCAATATTATTTTGCTTGTTTTTGGGCCACACCAGGTATGTTGAAATGTTGTACTTGGCTCTGCACTCAGGAATCCCTCCTGCAGTGCTCACTGACCACACGGACAGCAAGCACCCAATCCACCATACTAAGACTTCAGCCCCAAGGAAAAATATTATTTAATCTTCCACATATATATAATTGAAACAGATTTTCATTTAGTTTGAGTATGATTTTGTATGGCAGAGATATTTTTATTTTATCAGTCACAGCCATAGTCCTCCCGTTATTCATTGATTTGCTCGAGCGGGCCCAGTAACATTTCCATCGTGAGACTTGTTGTTACTGTGTTTGGCATATTGAATACATCACGGGTAGCTTGCCAGGCTTTGCCATGCGGGTGATATACTCTCGGTAGCTTGCTGGGCTCTCCAGGAGGGGTGGAGGAATCGAACCCGGCTTGACTGGGCTCGCTGTGTGCAAGGCAAACACCCTACCACTGTGCTATCGCTCCAGTATCATTTAGAAACAGTGCATGGAACATAGTAAGTGCTATACAAATATTAGACATTATTATATGAAAATATTTTGTATGCAGTCAACTTGTTCCCATAGAAAGTAGAGGGAAAGTTTCACTTTGGAATTCACAGACGGTCAATACTGGGTTTAATTCTTCAATACATTAGGCTGTACTTCTCTCAGCTTTTACAACATTGTCCTGGGATGTGTAAGGAAAGCTAGGGAATGGACATTACAGATAGTTCTAAATAAAGAGAAATAAAAAAGTAAAAATGATGTGAATGGAGGACAAAAATAGAAGACATGAAGCAGATCACTGAAGAAAAATAAACCCAGCATGTTAACTAGGGCAGATGCTGAGACAGGCCTGGTTAGGGTAAGGTTGGCACCCAACTGTTCCTGGAAAGAGAAAGAGGAAAAAGGCTTGTAGGTATCTAAGGAACTTTATTTAATTGAAAATAACTTTTTTCCTCAGCACCACACTTAAATTAATCATGGCTTTCAAACTTAGAGGTTTTCCCTGTTTGATTTTAAATAAGAACTTTAGACTCTCTGGTATAGCTCTCTAGAAGAAAGCCAACGTTACTCGGTCAATTCAATATGACACGGGACATACTCCTTCCTGGTGGTCATGCAGCCAAATTGTAGGGGCAGTCAGAAACAAAAACTGCCAAAGTGAGTTGTCAGTGTTAAAAAAAAGTAAAAAGAGGAAAAGTTTTAGGGTCTCCTAGGGCATATCAACAAGAAAAAACGTATCATTATGAAAAAAGTGTCCATTCTCAAATACAGTTTTACCAGCAAACTCAAACCAACTTCTCTTTATATATTTTACTGTATTAGAGAAACTTTCTTTGGGGGGAGGGAGACCACACACAGCAATGCTCAGGACTTATTCCTGGCTTTTTACTCAGGGGTCACTCCTTTCAGACCATAAGGGATGCCAGGGTCAGCTGCATGCAAGGTAAGTGTCCTGCCTGCTGTACTATCTTTCCACTCCCAAGAGAAACTTATATGAAGCAGAGGCAAAGTCTACTGAAAGGAAACTCAGCTATATGATAAACAAGTCTACCTCTAAATGAAGTTCAGCTCAGTGCTTAGCAGCCTGATAAAAGAAGAGACTAGTTTCATACATCCAAGATGATAAAATGTCAAATGAAATTGCTAGTAACAGAAGGAAAAAATGACTTTTATTTTGGGTTTGTTTATGAGGTCATGCCCAGCAGTGCTTAAGGTCTACTCCTGACTCACTGCTCAGGCATCATGCCTTGTGGGCTCAAGGAACCATACAGAATATGGGGTATCAGAGCTGGGCTGGCTGCATGTAAGGCAAGTTTCCTACTAGATAAAAACAGGTAGTGCTATGCTATCTCTCTGGCCCTGGACTTAAGAAAATATGACTCAGAAATAGGAAAGAGGATCACAGTGAAAAGGGACCACTTTCTCTATTTTTATTTTATTTTATATTTATTTTATTTTAAAGGGAAATCTTTCTCTATTTTTCCTTCTGTAAAAATAAACATACTAAAAATCCAGAGGAAAAGGAATTCTTGAATGATTGAATGGAATGATAATAATTCTTGATTTTTTCTTGTTTGGCTAATCCTGTCACCAGGGAGAAATTACCTTACTTCATTCAGTTATTTCATATTAAAAATAAATGTGTGAGTATTCACTAACTCCCCATTCAAGTCCCTCCTAGCATTGAGGAGCTGACATAAAGAAGGCAGTAATAAAACTACTTCTCTAAGTTCAAATATCATATCATCGCTTTGACATCAAGACGAGTCTAGAGAATTTAGCACCAGTTTGAGAATAATGGTGATATAATTAAGATACTACTTATAGCCCTAAAAGAATAAGCAGCTCCCATGAGATCACATATATACAGTCACTCCTGGTGTGAGCAAATATGAACTGCATGCTCATAAATTTAAATAAGCACCTCTGAGGCTTAGTACTCCAAAGTAGACAAAAATAAACATTAGTGCCTATAAATTATGAGGAACAGTCAAGGTTTTTCTTCTTAAGCTGCAATTTTCCTAATAATCTGAACATTCTACAAGCACAGTGGTAGGGCGTTTGCCTTGCATGCAGCCAACATGACCGACCCGAGTTCGATTCATTCCGCCCCTCTTGGAGAGCCCGGCAAGTTACCGAGAGTATCTTGCCGCATGGCAAAAATGCTTGCCAAAGCCTGGCAAGCTCCCCGTATTCGATATGCCAAACACAGTAACAACAAAGTTTCATGAAGGAGACGTTACTGGGCCCGTTCGAGAAAATCGATGAATAACGGGAGGACGATTGTGACTGTGATGTGTCCATATGATTTACCCTTGAATAGCATGTTTAAGTCATTTTGAAACCTACCCAAATCAGGGTGCCAGATCTATTGTGTATTTACTAATTATCAAGTAGTGGAGGAAACTCAACCAGAATGATGTATGACCTCAAGTTACTATAGGTCAAGGACTGTCAGAATTAGATAAATTCATAGAGTGAGTGAGGCAGCCTAGAAGTAGAAAGAAAATATTTTTTTCCCTACATAATTCCATGTTGGGGGTCTCTTCCAGGGTAATTCTCTTTAGCTTCTGCTTAACACATTAGGGTTTAACACATTAGCACTGTACATTCTTCATTAACCCATCTACTGCCCAGTAATACTCTTGAGTTTCAGAAGTTTCTAGATACTATATTCTCGATGAAAATGCAGATGTACTATAACACATTCATTCAGGGTTTGAATAGGCTTTTGCCTGAGGAACAAGATAGCTTTGCTCCATCATCTTCTGCTCTTGACTAGCTTTCCATTCGCATAGTTCTGGCAGTCAGTGTGCTAAAACAACCAATGAAACTGAGGAATGTTGAAAGGAGCAATTCTACAGGATGAACAACCCCTCCCCCCCAATCTTGAAGAGATGATTTCTCCTTTGACATCAACTACCAGCTTTTATTTCCCAAATAAATCAGGAAAGTTCTGTGAATGAAGTAGAAGATGAAACTGTTTTGGTCTCCATGCCATCATCTCTTTAGAAGACTGATTTAGTTTGTTTCTACAGGGGTAGAGAGAGAAACATGTGTACATGTAGATGTCTCTGGTAGTTGTGGGGTATATATATATATGTATATATATAAATATATGCGTGTGTGTATTTGAGCAGAAAATAACATGAAAGAAAGATTTCTCAAAGTTAGAATTAAATTAGGTATTTAACTAAGCTAATAAAAAACTGAGGTCGATTTTCTTGGTCATATTCCTTGGTTAATTTGATTCACATTATTACTACACAATATCTAAAAATGGATATTTTGAAAGCCTACTGAATGTAGCATTTCCATGGAAACCCAGCAAGAGAAGAGCATATACTGTCTGGACAATCTCTGCAGAGCAGATGACACTTGCTACAAACAATTTTGCCCTAGACCAAAAAAAAAACCCCACCAAAACCCCAAAAGATTTAACCTGCAACCACCAAACCTTGTAATGTACCTGTTAAGGTTGCAGACAGTAGGGTGAAGGGTGATGGAGTATGAGAACAGTGGTGGAGGAAAATTGACACTAGTGATGGGATCGCTATTGAAATATTCTATATTACATTAAAACTCAACTATCATCCCTTTGCAAATCACAGTTCTTTAAATAAAAATATTTAGAAAAATAAGAGAAAAAAATGAAGAAATAAAGAAAACTTATAAAACAAACAAAAAATGCAAAGACCTATCAAATAATTCAAACCATTATTGACCCTTTTCATATATTAGTTTTAGTCTTTGAGGGTGAGTGGTAGGGCATTTGCCTTGAGGGTGAGTGGTAGGGCATTTGCCTTGTGGGCGGCCGAGCTGGGTTCGATTCCTCCACCCTTCTCAGAGAGCCCGGCAAGCTACCAAGAGTATCTCTCCCGCACGGCAAAGCCTGGCAAGATACCCATGGTGTATTCGATATGCCAAACACAGTAACAAACAAGTCTCACAATGGAGATGTTACTGGGCCCACTCAAGCAAACTGATAAATAATGGGAGGACAGTACTACAGTCTTTGAGGGTAACCTAACTTGTAGTAATACTGGATACACAGTTTTTAATGTATTATACCAGTAGTCCCAGGTTCCCAAAGGCATTTAGCATACCACTCCCTTTTCAGAAATATAAGTAATTTAGTACCCCTCTAGAATGCTACTTTCCCAAAACAAACAGAGATGTACCCTCCATTGTACCCCCTGGAGCCTCTACTGTCCTTCCTATGGTCTCCTCCTCCTCAGTGGTATCATCCACTTCAGGAAAGATTTCCAGTGATTTCCAGCCTCTCACACCTGAACACTGACACCTGTTTGAGCACCAGACTATGGACCACCACTAGTTTCTGGACCCATGGTTGAAAGCACTGTTGTCTGTTTTATAGCCTAAGCCCTCACATGCCATTAATTATTTTTCATGATAGATTTATAATGACTAAGATATTATATAGGTACATTTGCAATTTGTTTAATGAATCACCCAATGTGGAATAATTAGAAGGCCTCTAACTATTCATGATTATGAATAACAAAGATTACTATAAAATGGTTAGAAGATTTTAATCCTTCAGATTCGTATGGTTGCCAAGAATTCACAAAGCAGGGGTAGTAAGATTTAGTAGAAGAAATGAGTATAGAGGATATTTTTATCTTCCTTTTGTGACCTCCCTGATCCTAATAAAAGTAAATGTTTTGATGTAGGAAGTGGGCTAAAGTAAAATCATGACCAAGTAAAATCATGACCATCAGCCTGGGGAGTCATAGAAAGTCCAGGTTAATTGCTTAAGAAGATGGATATTAGTTTCTGCTCGGATACACCCATAAGGTGCATTGATTCCCTAAAAATTTCACTCTACAACCATATTTTATTATACATAAATTGGTTCTAATAGAAAAATGCAGTAATGATTATAGATATGTAGGAAAGGAGTCAAAAAACCTAAAAAGGAATTAGCTATTTTTAACTAGGCAAGAAGACAGTATTTATCAGTCTGGAGCGATAGCACAGCGGTAGGGCGTTCGCCTTACAAGCGGCCAAGATGGCCAACCCGAGTTCGATTCCTCCGCCCCTCTCGGAGAGCCCGGCAAGCTACCGAGAGGATTCGATATGCCAGACACAGTAACAACAAAGTCTCCAATGGAGACGTTACTGGGCCCGCTCGAGCAAATCGACGATCAACGGGAGGGCCTTTACCTTTACCTTTACCTTACCCCAAGGTTGCCCTACTACTCAGAAAAACTTAGCAGGAAATCAGCCTTTGATTCACTCTATTTAAGAAGGAAAAATCACCGCAGAATTCAAAATTTTGAAGAGATTTATAGACTAGTAGACTTGGCAATAAATTCTGCCTGCAGCAAACACCCAGTTTACAAACAGAACCAAGAGGAAGTGTCAGGAGGTCACAGACCCGGGAACGTATAGGACTGACACTAAGCAAGGTTTGAGAAGTAGCATTGTTGGTAGGTACCAAAAGAAACAGAAAAAGATAGAATCCCATTTTTTAATTAGCCTATCTGAGGATAATCACTTCTTTTTTTAATTTTTAATTTTTATTAGTGAAACACCATGTGATGTCCACAGTTGTAGACTTACAAATTTTTGTGCTTGGGTTATCATTTCTGATGACTAATAATTTCTGCCTGCTATCAAGGTCCTGGGAGGAAACTCCCATAGGCAATCCAAATTCTTTCATTTGCCGTCTCTCCCTGTCATAGCATGTCTATGTATGAAACATAGTGATAGAGACATAAAATAATATCTGCATATGTATGCTACATAGAGGTATGTTCTATACATGAGCGCTCCCACTTAACAAGGAAGACACAACCAGCTCAGTATGATCACAGCACCATGGTTAGAGGCTCACTAACCTCACACTAGTTCAGTCTAAAAGGAAAGCTGAAAGCTGAAAGTTCCAGGGACGAACTTTAGGAATATTGGTACTTTAATGTTCCATATTAAGCCTACTTAAGTGATATTTTAAGGATAACTTTGAGATGTTTTTCCACTAGGAATAAAAACAGTGTAACTCTACAATTTGATGTAATCATCATCATCACAAAGTAGCAAGAGATGAAGTGATTTTTCCCAAGGGCACACAGAATGCCCAGTGAATTGGGTTCTGGAAATCTAGACCTCCTTGACATTTAATATCTTCCTGTACTTAATTGTGTGTGCATTATGCATATGTGTAGACATATGCATAACAGGCGTGTGCATATAGGTACACAGGTCTTATTTCTTATTTTTCAAAAAAGGGACCCCAAACAAACTCACTTTGGAGTAGAAAAGTGATTTGAGATACTGAGTCTAACTGTGGGTAAAAGGTTCTGCTCCTCCATGATGGCTGCTTAAAATACTTTTCACACCCACAAAAATAACATTATATGATACGAGACTTACAGATCTTATGAAAGATCACCACAATCATATAACCTTTAGTTCCATACAGGACCACTCCGATTTTTTTCTGTATTTTGAAATCTTTAGGTAAAAAACTATACTATGTCTTTCCTGTTTGAATAAACTAATGATACAGAAAAGTCCTCCTCCAAGTCTCTTATTTTATGACCTTTATACAAATGACTGTGTAAATTGAAAAATAAAAATCATGAGTTAGAGTCAGAAATATTTGGTATTAATTCCTACATTTACCACATATTAGCTACAAAATCTTGGGTGAATTATTTGTTTCTCTGATCTGTAAAAACCAAATAAAAATGACAATTCTTGTGGCTTTTGATTAGACAGCCTAGCAATTAGTGGTCACTAAATATATTTCAATTTCCTCCTTTCTTTACCTGGTCTCAATGACCTCTTCATAGTATTTCACATTTATGTAACTTTTTAAAATATTCTTTATTGAATTCTAGGGATTAACCTAAGTTCTCACATATGCAAAACAATTTTTCCATTACTGAGCTATCTAACCCCTCATATGAATGTAACTTTATAAGATGAGTCTCAGTGGGAAAACAAACTCCTTAATAAATAAATAATAAATATTAAAAATAAAATCTCCAGTTCAACTTGGGTAACACTTAGCAATGTTGGAGAATGAACTGGGAGACAAGGGTCAGTAATTTCCCCTTGAGTATCCAATCATGCTCTCACCCAAAATTGATAAGAAAACATTTATCAGCTAATATCCCTAATGAAATACTTAATAAAAGGCTTGAAAATGTTAAGAGCAAAAAGAATATTGAGAAGAAAGAAAAACTGAGGAGTACATATAAGAGGACTAAAGGAGCCTTGTGCATAGGATAGCAGTTAGAACTGCTGGGGCGGGATTTATGAAGTCAGGTAAAGCTCTCCTTGGACTACCGAGAAACTGTAATCTCAGACAAGTTCTTTTCTGAACCTCAGTTTCCCCATTTGAAAATATGTGCAATAAAATCTATGTCATATCTGATTGTAATGAATATTACATGAGTCTGAAAAGTAGCAGGTACCTAATTAAATAATAGACCACTTAACATACGTTAAGTGCTTACAATGAAGTAAAATTTAGGGTACATATATCACCTATATCACAGCAGATTTAATTTTATTATTGTTAATAATTTTTGACATCAAATAAAGAAGCAGAGAAGGAAAAAAAAGAGTAGAATCTAGGATCCACATAAGAATCATAAGGGATATTAGGGCCACTGAGTCTAACTGCAAAGTTTTAAGATGAGGCCATCAGGGGCAGGGACATAGTGATGTGTACAAGCCACACCATTCTCTGGCACCAGAATCTGCACAAGAACCCCAGACTTCTAACTCCGTATCCAGATGAGGGACATGCCACTGGAAGAGGTTCTTGGGGGGGGGTTAGTTGCCCCTTTAAGAGTGGTCGGTTCATAGAAACTGTCCACCCTTCCCTGAGTACCCCCACCGTTCGCAATGAAAAGAGAACACACATGCCTTTGCTTTCTGAGACAATTATTAAAAGTCAAGTGAGCCACAGACAAGCAGACAACCAAGCAGGAAAACCTGGATTAAAGTTAATCCTCTTGCTTTACAGACACTCATCAGAGCAGCTATGGTCTCACCGAAACCAAGCAGAGTCAGTTTCAGAGAGCTCGCCAGCCCTTCCTCTGCCTGGGGAATCTCAGTTTAGAAAACATTATCGCTTCGTGTTTTTCTCTGATAGGCGGTGCAATAATTTACATTCATTCCCACAAAGTGTCAGAAAAGCCTGTGAAGTAATAACAACCAGACTTCCCAGTGCATTTCAAATATCAAAAATCAACTTAATTAAGTAGGTTTAATTTTTTTTCCTGAGCAGCAATCAAACTTTAATTAATACTCCATTAAAACAAATTCCTAGGGGAACACAAGCATGCATGCACCTAATGAGTTCATCTGCCAAGGGTATTATTATAGAAGATGTTAAATGTGCCTCCTTACTGGCCACTTACTCAATTGCAGAGTGCCCCACATTAATCAGAAATGAAAAGCAATCACAGGTTTGCAACCCTTCTCCTCACCATGGGCCCCTGTGCCCTGCCAACAGTGTAACATAATCCTCCCCTCTTCTCTCCTGCTTCCACTTCATGAATGATTCAGGGCACAGAGGCGCACAGTGAGGAATCCCAGCTGGACTCCTCCTGCAAGCATGGCCCCGCAGTCTCCTTCCCTTCACTGGCCTCTTTCCCGCGCAGGCAAGGTAAGGACCGGCCAACTCACTTCAGCAGATCCCACTAAGCTTAAACTCTGTACTTAAACAGGATCAGACACAGAACACAGTTGCAAACAGGTTCACTGCCGATAGCACAGATGATGGAAACAGTTCTCTAGGATTGTTGATTTTTGACAAGAAGCAGCAAGCAAGAAAAATTGAGTGTGGGGTGGGAAGGGAATCTGCTCTTCCGCTTGCTCTGAAAGTGACTATTTCTAAATCAGAGATCCCCAGATTTCCCAACTGCATTCTGAATGCTCTAACAAACTTCCCAAACCACCTGCTTCGGCAGTCCTCTCTTCATCAGAAATGAGGAGGAAATTCTGGCTGAGCCCCAAGAAGAACGCTTTCGGGATCAAGCTGTTAACATCATAATACCAAAATGTTAGTAACCCCAGACCCTGGGTCCCTGATACTTTTTTTTTTCGGGGAGGGGAGGACATTTGACTAGGAGACCAGCTTGTCATCACAAGCAACGCCGGCCGTTGCAGCTGCTCACCTCTTTGGTGTGCGTGTGGAAGGAGACGGACATGTCCAGCAGAAGTTTCCGCTGCTCCACTCTGCGCACGAAGTCCTGGATGCGCACCTCCAGGTGTCGGGCTGCCTTGTAGATCTCCTCGGGGTCACATTCCCCGGTCTGCGCCAGCTGCTCTGCTGCCTCTAGGAGCTTGTCTGCATTGGTGTATGTGTTCTGCCGGCAACAACAGCGAGGGAAAGTCAACTGGCAGTCACGCACCACGCTTCGCGCCTTCCCCCAGCCCACACGGACGGCCCAGCGCAGGAGCGGCGGGCGTGGGCGCAGCGCCGCCAGCTCCCTGATCTGGCACGGGGGAGCTGTGCACAGAGCTTGGCGGCTGCCTCCCTGCGAGCCCGCAGCCTGGCTGACTGCTCCGCACACGCGGGTGCCGCCAAGGTGCCTCCTCCGGCTCTCAGACCTCTCAGAGCCAGGGCCTGGCTGGAAGGAAGCAAGGAGAGGGGAGAGGCGCTCCACGCGCCGGCCACCCCCTGGCCCCCACCTTCTGCAGACCCTGCATCTCAGGCCGCAGTGGCCAGAGCCAGAACTGCTTCCTCAGCCTCAGAGACTGACCGGGATTTTAGGTGAGAACACCAGGGAGGTGAACACGGGGCGACATGCTCCCCGTCGCCCCAAGTTCCCTCTGACTACTGGCGTTTATCTTTTGGAGCAGAGAGCGCTGTCGCCTTGGAAGGGAAGGGTCAACAGCCCAGTGAGCTGACAGAAGGAGCAGCCACAGCCGGCCGGCCGAGGAGTCACAGGCCACTCCCAGAGCGCCAGAGAAGCCTTAATATTTGCACTGGGGCCAAGGAGGAGTCTGGCGTCTGTGTGTCACACACATGACACTTGCACACACTTCCTCAACCCCTATCTCCACACACCATGGTATTCTCCAGGGCATTCTGAAAGGAAACCCATTTGTAATTATGATTCATAGAGAGTCTCTGCCTTAAATTCTCCTGTTCTATCTTGGTCTAAAGCCGTGACCCTGGTAGATGTTGGACCTCTTAATATTCCATATTATCCCTTTGAAGTGAACAAGCGGTTCCTCTGGATGTGAATGTGGCAGCAGTTGGCGTCAAACAGACATTAGGTGGAGCACTGAGTGGTCTGTGAACAATGACAGTGTGGTGTTGTGGTCTGCTGCTAAAGAAGTAACCTCTAACCTCCAGGGAGGGTTTTGTTTATTTTTGGCTGCACCGTCAGTATTCAGAGGTTACTCTGGTCTCTGGTTTCGGAGTCGCTCCAGGCATTGTTAAGGGGATTGAATCCTGGCCCCCTTCATGCAAAGCATGTGCTCAGCCCATGGACTTATCCTCCCACTGCTATTTTCCATAGACTTTTACTTTAATTCACCTGAAGTAAAATGTGACACTCCTAAATTCACATGTTGAAGTCAGGGCCCACAGTGCCTCAAAAATGACTATTTGGAATCAGAGTCATTGTAGATGTAATTATCAGAGATAAAGTTATAGTTGAGTAAGTTGAGCTCCCAACCACATATCACTAGTATCCTTACAAGAATGTCACATGAACCTTTAGATATATAAAGGTTCTGGACACACACACACACACACACACATATATATATATTTACATGCTTATTAACCCTATATATATATAAACAGCAAGTATTAGTGAGGGCTTGGAGAAAAAGGAACCTTCATTCACTGTTGGGGAAATAAATTGGTTCAGCCTCTATGGAAAATGATATGTAGATTTCTAAAAAAAAAAACAAACAAAGCACAACAGAACTACCATATAATCCAGGAATCCCCCTCTAGGTTTCAATATAAATAATGGGGAAAACATTTATTTGAAAAGTTCACTGCAGCACTATTTACAAGAGCCAGATCTGGAAACAACCTGCATGCCCAGTGACAGATGAGTGCATAAAGAAGTTGTGACAGAACAAAATAACAATCTATAAAATAAACTATAAGAAAAGATGAGTCTTGCCTTTTACTACAATGTCCTGCAATGATGATTGGTGGTTATATTTACAGGCCAAGTAATGTCAAAATTGCTACCAAACCCCCAGAAGTTGAGGACATGGGGAAGTTTCTTCTCCATGTCTCTTAGAAAGAACTAATCTTTACATGCTTATTAACCCTTTTATTTATTATTATTTTATTATTATTATTATTATTATTATTATTATTATGCTTTTTGGATCACACCTGGCAATGCACATTGGTTGCTCCTGGCTCCGCACTCAGGAGTTACTCCTGGTGGTGCTCAGGGGACCATATGGGATGCTGGGAATCGAACCTGGGTCAGCCGCACGCAAGACAAATGCCCGACCTGCTGTGCTATCACTCCAGTTCCAACCCTTTTAATCTTCACAATAATGTAATACAGTCATCAGCCTCACTTTTCAGAGGAAAAACTGAGACACAGGAACTTCTGGTCAAGACCACATATACTCTAAGTGGCAAAACCAAGTTTATAAACACTATCATCTGTTTTAGAGTACAAGCTCCAAATCATATAAGCAGCGTTAGGTGAAGAGGAGGCATCCAGACCATGATAAGGTGTTTTACTCCTAGGTTGTGGGAAGCTACTGAAGTTTGTTTATTTGCTTGTGTTGTTTTAGGGACATCCCAGGTGAGTGCTGAGAGAGCTAATTCCTGACTCTACACTGAGGGATCACTCCTGGCAGGGATTGAGGGGAAATATGGGGTACCGAGGATTGATCCCAGTCAGCTGGGTGCAAGTTATATCTTCACCACAGCAGAGAGAGGTGACTGCTGCACAGTGCAGATACATCCTGCTGCTATATGGGGAAGGCAGAAGCCTGAGAGGATGCGCAGGGTGTAAGGGAGAAGGGCAGCTTCCCTGGAGAGGATTCTCTGCTTTGTGCCACAGACCACATCGAGACCACACACTAGCCACTATCCTGTGCCAATAACAATGTAATCCTTATGGCAGGCACTAGGGCTCACTGCCTTTTGGTTCCCCAGACCAGATGTAATGGCTGGCACCTACCACGCACATATTTAATGTCTGTGAACAAGACACAGAGATGCGAACAAGCTTACTTGAGTGCACTTAACTAAAATCAGAAAGTGGCAAAACTAGATGTTAGATTTTATAGAGAGAAAGGGACAGGTAGGGGTAGTAGGATCAGAGCTAAAAGATGGGCCCCCTTCTCTAACCACCTCCTACCCAACACTAACAGAAAGTTTTTCTAACATTCAGATCTAGGCTAGCCTCTCTTGTTAACCCATTCAGTGGCTCCCCACTGTCTGGCATACTGCACCCTAGTATCCACCAAAGCATACAAGAACCTTCATCTGCTACCCATGATCTACCTTCAGATTCAACTCACATCATGACTCCTCCATGAACAGCCCATCCATGAAATCAATTGTTTATACTTCAGAAACTCACTGCTATGCACTCATAAGAAAATAAAAAAAATGTGACATTTGTGGAAAATTAGATGGAACTGAAGGGAATTTTGTTCAGTAAAATAAGCCAGAGGGAGGGCAAATACCAGATGATCTGTGGTATATAGAGAAACAGGTCAAAGGTATGGACAATAACAAACTCTGGGCGCTGGATTATAGACCTTAGAATAACAGGTCAGAGTAGAGGTGGGTGAGGGACCAATGAGGTTGGACTGGAAGAAACATAAGGGCATTGGTGGAGGGTTCTGGGAACTTTGGTGCTGGCAAGGTAAGGTAAGTATATGCACCATAGTCATAACTGTCAATAAACAAACAATGGGGGAAGAGGTGGAAAAAAGAAACTCTAGAAGTGACAGGACAGTGCATGTTGGTGGGGTGCAGTGACTTTGGACATCAATGTTATAAACTTAAACGATTTGTAACCATATACCTAAATTAAAATAATTTTAATAATCTGACTGTACAGAGAGTCCTGCTTTTGTGTTTTGACCACGGAGTCTCCCCTGACTCCCACCCTGTCCCCCTTCTCTATTTTCTTCTAGAATAATTATTACTGTTTAAGATCCAGTGCAGGTACCACTTCCTCCAGGAAGCCCATCCACCTATCCATGTTACTCCCAAGTCAGGTTTAGTTGAACACTGAGCAACCGGAATGCCTTGTGCTAGCCCCCTCCATCTTGCCTGCCATATTCTAATTGCAAAGGTGTGACTTTCTCATCTGTTTAGGAGAAGATAATGTCTGTTACTTATTTCTCTTAGATCCTGGCACCAAGATAGTGCTCTATTAATAAAGAATACATGAATCCTCATCAGTCTTAATCATCAAACCTTCACCCTCATCAACTAATTTGTACAAGACTTTACATGGCAAAATTCATGCTTAATGTTCAAACTAGTTTAGTTTATTCTACTCTCCTGGAACAGTCTTAAAATAGAAATATACCTAGAGATTAGTATCAAAAGTATTAACCAAGCGACACGTGAATGCCTGTCATTGCCTCAAATTGGGATAAGGAACACTACAAGCTTTTGCCCATATAAGAAAATTAATACCAATTTCTGTCCTAGAGTCACAGTCTGAGCTCATTCAAAAAACCGTTTATGGTTTTTAGGTGTTTTATAGGTTGCCAACTCTTGTTTCAGACTTAATCCCTTGTTAATATTTTCTAACTGATCTGAAAAATGGGTTATCAATAATAATAATTACCACTGGCAGACATCTCATTAAGCAAGGCCAGAGGTAGCCGCTGAGTCTGAGGTCTGGATCATACATATGGCTGCAGTTCCTTTTCTTCCGGCTCTATGCTAGCCCTCCAGTCTAGAAAGCAAAATAATCTCGACAATTTAGCCCTGCATTTACATCAATTCTGTCTGTTGCAGTCTGGACAGTTACTTTAGTTTTTCCCTCAGAGGAGAAACAACCAGTTTAGGGTAACTAACTTATTCTCTAAAATTATATAAATCTCAGGATAGGAGTGATAGTATAGCAGGTAGGTCATTTTCCTTGCATACAATCAACCTGAGTCTGATCCCTCATACCCTATATGAGCCCCTGAACCTGCCAGGAGTGATTACTGAGTGCAGAGTCAAGAATAAGCCCTGGGCTTCAAGAGGAGTGACCCAAACCCCACAAATACATAAAATTACATAAATCTCTACAGTAAGGATATATTTCAGATTCCCAATGTTAAAGAAGAGGGATGAGTGTTTTAAAAGTAAGGGGGTAAAAGGGTCAGACAAATTAGTACTGTAGGGGGCTCTTGC